TTGCCGTTTTTAACAAGAAGTCGAAAATATCACTTTTTACCAAAAATGACAAAAATATTCACCAAAATTAGAGAATTGAAGATATCAACATAAAATGAACAAACCTAAGAGAGGTCTACCCAAGGTACATATACACCAAGTATCAAAGCATTCAGGCTTGTAGTTTTCAAGAAGAAGTCGAAAAAGTAAAACATTGACACGGACGACGACGGACAATCACTCATATGATAAGCTCCGCTCGACAACGATATGATTTTAGTTACTTTTTGGGTATTTTGTATGGATTTATTTTCACTGATTTTTGGCGAGTTGAATGTAAAATATAGGAAAAAAGAACCGGTATATTTGCTGGATTTTATTTTCACTGAATCATTTCTTCAGCGAAAATTAATTCCAAGGGAAAATAAAGTATTTTACTACTACTTTTTATTTACCACAAAAAATGGGGTTGGGATTGAAAATCCTGAAATCCCCAAGTTATAGATAGGTAATTTCCTATTCAACTATGCAACAAAGGACATGACTCATCTACATAACAATGTACTCATTTGAATATGAATGTAGATATTTCAAAATGATACTCAATTGAGCCAAATAAACATAAGAAAGAGGCAAAGATTAAATAAACAATTATGAATGAGATTAAATATACATTCTGTTTGTTAAAAAAAACTTGAAAGTATGAATCTTGGGAATAAAAAAATGTCAAAAGTGGTGTTTTTGTGTGAAATTAAAACCATGAACACAGTTTTGTGTAGCTCAGTATGAGTATTTCCATCACAAATGATTCAATAAAAGGGCTTCTCCTTTCCCTGGGACACAGTCTGCCTTATGGGTGGGCTGTGCGGAATCATCATCAAGAGATTCCGGAAGCATAATCTTTGGAAACCTGGGCAGTTGGTTGTCTAGTTCACTGACGCCCTGTATGCACAAATACAACTGTAGAATTAATTAGTCTTTCAGAAATTGACATTGGTCAAATCTAGAAGTATACTGTACATGTATGCTTGTAAAGTTACCAGTATATTTTATTCTATTCTGCTAACAGTCAGGTTTTGAAATATACAGTGCCTTTTCATAAAAAAACATTATAAAAAACATTTTTTTAAATGCCATCATTATTTTCAACATATTCTTTGTAGAATTTACCTAAGTTACTACTGTAAAATCTGTAGCCATGGTTTCTATCAAAGTGGTACAATGCAACAGAGGGGATGTTGTTTCTATTAGAACATCTACACAAATGAGAAATGATGAATTTTTTCGTTCTCAATTGTTAAAAAAAATGGGTGCAACTTCTATTAGGGACACGGCTTCTAATACAGATTTTAAGGTAATATGAGACATATTTAGGCAAGCTACATTTCAAATTATGCCCAGTCCTCTATCACATTGTTTGTATATAATGTTTGTATTGCTATAATGATATCAGAGAAATAAAGCACTTTAAATTAAAAGAGGAGGTCAAAACAGTACTAATCAAAAAATCAATTCTCCAACATTAATGCATATGTACATGCATGCTACAAACCAAATTTCAGATGAGTATAGTTAGTTTTTCAAAAGATGATTTTTTTTAAAGTATTTTACACCATTTCTCTGTAAATTAGTTATGATGTGTGAAGGCCTGTTTCAGATTTTGTAAATTTTAATTCACTTATGACATAAAAGAGCATCAGTCAGAACCAGTATTTTTAGCCAAAATATTCAAGTCACCAAGTGTAAGATTGAAATCCATGACTATGAGTATGCAGGAACAATATGCTAACCACTAACCCAACCAGTCAACACCAATATTTCACAAAATATGGTGCATTGTCATTGATTTTGATAACATACCGACACTCTTACAATGACCAACATAAATATACACAAAATAATACACACATTTATCACAATTTTACCTATGATTTGAATTACAGATGTAATAATTATTGGTTCTGTCAAGATCTTAGTCATTATCTTCATTATCAAATAATTCAAGAGTACACAACTTTCAATGCAAAGTAATTTCCACATGATGTATTGCTCCACGATTTGACATGCAATAATGTCCTTCCACCTGATAGTTTAGTTATTAACCAATCAGGTTGCTGTGTGGTACTGACTCAATTCACAAATACTGGCAATGGCAATTTTTCTTTAACATAATGCGCAAGTATAGTACATTCCATCCCATCTTGCAGTGATTATGTCCTAAAACAAGGTAGTCAAGTGATTACTGTAGCTATTTTTTAAGATAAACAGAAAATTTAACAACTTTTACAGTAACAGTTCACAGTCGAAATGCAGTTTACATATTCACTGAGAGTCACAATAGATGCTGTAAAACAAAGTCGATTGACCAGGTAAAATTAGAGAAAGAGATGGGCGCAGTTGAACTTGACCTTAAAATACCTCGAAAAAGGTAATGAGTGTGGTATTATAAACATGTACCTTCCATTCCATATCATTTCAGACAAGACAAAACAAGCATATTTTCATATGTACTCACCTCAGTGTGTCGCAAACTAAGAGTTTGATATTCTTTTTTCATGTCATTTTCTCTATCTTCATGTCGAGACACTGAAAAAAGATGACATAAGGAAGTAAGTCAGTCTTTTGAACTCAAATAAAAAAGCAACATATATTGGGTTCCACAAGTGTCAAACCTATTAATTTTCCTTACAGTAGATTTTCAACTTATTATTTTCTTGGTGGGCCATCAGAGGTTGGCACTATTCCTGTGGTGGGTCATCAGAAGTTGGCACTATTTCTTTCCGGTGGGTCATCAGAAGTTGGCACTATTCCTTCTTGGCAGGTTATTGGAGGTTGGCCCTAATCCTCCCTGGTGGGTCATAAGAAGTTGGCACTATTCCTTTCCGGTGGGTCATCAGAGGTTGGCACTATTCCTTTCCGGTGGGTCATCAGAGGTTGGCATTATTCCTCCCTGTTGGGTCATCAGAGGTTGGCACTATTCGTGTGGTGGGTCATCAGAGGTTGGCACTATTCCTGTGGTGGGTCATCAGAGGTTGGCACTATTCCTGTGGTGGGT